CTTGGTTTCCTGACCCTCAGTCAGATGCACTCCGACTTCAAAGGATGCCCCCAGTCAGTCACCTCCTACAACATGCTTGCTGGGGAGACAGTGGGTTTTGGGGTTATGAACCCACACACAGGGAATGACGATTCTAATGTAATACACAGAGATATATTTACAAAAACATTGGAGAACATCCTGACTACTGGAAAGATCAGTGGGAAAGGGGTAGAGGCATACCAAGAGAGATGATGCTGGATGGGCTGAAACGATGGCATGGAGGGATATCATCAAGAGAGCCGTTCCAGGCAGCCAGGGATCGTGATCTGTGGAGACGCATAAGCGCCTACACCAGTTGGCATGGCACTGGTTGATGATTATGATATTTACAGAGTCATATTTCCATTGATGAGATATAGTTTGAAATAAAGAGATCAGGTCAGAGGATTAGATAATGTAAATGTAGATTCTTCTGAGGGAGATGTATTGTGGTAGGATATAAAAATAGTTTAGTGGAAGCAATGTCTCACCTGCTTTTTCTAGAGCAATTGGAATTGCAACAGCTGGTCCAATGCCCATAACATCTGGCGGACAACCCTTAACAGCAAATGAACGCAGGATGCCTAGAACTGGCAGACCCCTTCGTTGTGCCTCTTCACGAGTCATCAGTAAAACCGCTGCAGCACCATCACTTACTTGACTTGCATTACCTTCAACAAGTGGGTCAGATCAATTTTTGTGTCATAATTTGTTTGTAATTTAAGTACTTCTAATTTTCTTTTTTTTTACAATAGTGAATATCTTTTCCGCTTTTCATTTCTACAAATAAAAAGTTGAGCTGAGTCAAGAATTGACATCACAGCACTCAGGGCATTCCCATGTTTGCTCCGTCCTCATCTTCAGCAGCCAGGACATAGTTCCAATACCGATGGTACCGGTCACAATCTGGTTATATGTCCGTCTTGCCTTTCCTCTGAGTGTAGTGAGCAGGCCAGACCCTCTAGTTACACCCAGGTGCCTCATTCTCTCCAGGTCATACAAACAAAAAGAATAGTAAATAAAGAAGTTGTGGTGTTCAAAGTCCTCCTAGAAAGAAGCTAGGGCATTAAACATTTAGTGTCTGAGCAAACAGACAGACTCAGTGAAAAGTAACATTTGGTGCATATTTAGTGGAACTGATCACTGTTACCTATAATGAATAGCAATGGAGACTGTTTGACAGAAATTAAAAGGAGGATGACCACAGCAATGCAAAGATTAAACAACATTAAAAGTGTATGGTTAAGCACCAGCAAAGAGATCAAAATTAGAATTTTGAGAGCATGCATTTTCCCTGTAGCAACATACGGATGTGAGTCATAGACTATCTCCCAGTCCTTAAGAAAGAGAATAGGGGCATTTGAGCTGAAATGCTAGAGAAAGATTCCCAGAATATCTTGGACATAGAAGAGGAGAAATATTGACAGTTTGAAAGATCTGAACATCAAGGAAGATTGGCTAATAAACAGCATCCTGTCTCGGAAGCTGAAATATTTTGGTCATAGCAAGCGCCACGACGGATTGGAAAAAAATAAATAGCAGAAGGCATGGTACCAGGAAAGAGAGACAGGGGCCGATCAACACAAAGATGGGCACAGGATGTAAGGGACTCCTGAGTATGAAAGTACATGAGGCAGGAGAGCTGGCCAGAGACCAAGTTTCTTTCAGACAGACTGTGAAAAGAGCGATGTTCTGCAAAGGACCTACTACATGATGATAATGATTACTGTTAGGGTTGTGCTGGTTTTATGGTTTGTTTGCTGCTCTGTACAGAGGGGATTTTTGTAACAATGAATGGTTCAATGAGGAGTGCATATTATCCGTTGACTACATGATTTATTTCATGACAAATAAAAGATGTTCTCCAAATGTAGCATTGCAGTAAATGAAACCAGAAGAGATCATGTGAGAAAAGAAGAGAGTCACATTTTTTTAACTTTACCCACCATAAATTCATGGGGAAACAAAAACTGAAATGGTTCAGCCACTTTCTAAGAATAAACCCAGCAGTGAGAGGATTAAGGCTGAAATGGAAACACCAAGAGGCAGAAGGAGATTTGAAAGAAGTTGGATTGAAGGAGTCATTGACAACTTAATACCTCTCATTATCACAGCATACCAAACTTCTTCTTCTTCAGCGATCTCTGGTCATGCGCATAATCCACTGTGGGTCATAAACTGGGATGTCTTTTCAAGGTCTCTTAGGTTTCCCCAAAGCTTAATTGTCAGTTCTACTGGGTGTTGCCATATGTCGCTCCGCAGCTCCGCCACGAAAGGAGAGTCTTGCAGGACATGTTCTGGAGTCTGTTCAGCACGAAGGCACCGGCAGAGAGCTGTTTGGCTCATACCTAATTTATGTGAGTGTTTATTGAGTCTGCAGTGTCCAATGCGTAAGCGAAAAACTGTGACTTGGTCTGTTTTGTTCAAGTGTTTCAGAAAATCTTTTTCGTAGTTATAACCAGTGTTGGTTTTCCAATCTGTTTCTGATTTTCTCTTAATGAGAGTTTTGACTTCTGGAAAAGATAGTGGCTGGCAGGTCTGTGGTTTGTTACTGCCTTCCTTGGCTAAAGCATCTGCGCTTTCATTGCCTTTGATGCCACAGTGTGACGGAATCCACTGCAAGTGAAGCATACCAAACAACTGAGCTTGTCCTGGCTCAGCTGTCTATCATCTGTTAAACTATGGCAGCTAACAGCACAAAGAAGATTCGACAAAAGGAGAAGAAATAAATGGAACATCAAAATAATTTCAAATTGACCTTTAGCCTTTAACACTCAATAAAGGCTCAAAGTGAACAAACATCATGTTACAAATATAGACAAATCATCATCACTACAATTGTTAAACAACACTGACCCGCAGTAGTTGAACCATTAGCTTTAAATGCTGGCTTTAGCTTTGTCAAACTGTCAAGAGTTGTAGGCCGGATTCCTTCATCTTTAGATACCTGTAGATAATTTGTTTGACATTTAATGGAAACAGATGATGTTTTATAATTTATGGTATTTGCTTAGATAAATGTTTTTTGATGTTTTTACCAAGTGAAGATTGAAAGAAAGGTACATGGTGTATGGCGGGAATAACAGTCTCTGGGAACTCTTATTTTAAACAAAGCCCCATATCAATAGGGAATTCACTGTGGCGAAGCGGCTAGATGCTCGCCGCAAATGGGAAGGTCGTGGGTTCGCTCCCTGGCAGAGCCAGACTTTTTACAAAAATTACCTTGGCTCCCAGGTCGACACAGCCATGAGTGGGTACCGGGTGCAGTCCCGTGAAGTCAAGGTGGCCGGTGTGATGCTGACCACATCACCCATCTTGTGCTGATTGGTCTATAAAATATAGGCCTAGCCCTATATGCCATATACGCCTAAGGGCATGGAAAAGGTCCTTTACTTTACCATATCAATAGGCAAAGTCCCATTGCTTATAGTTGAAGGGCAAGATGGGATTCTTCTTCTTCTTCTTTTGTCAAAATCTGCTTGTGCCGCTAGACGTCGCAGTCTATCAGATGATCGGCAACCGAGCCAGGGCGCGCTCAGTTGCTTCATATGCCGTGATGTTATGAAGTCTCAAGTTGTCCGTGACTCCTTCAATCCATCTTCTTCTTGGTCTTCCCCTGCCTCTTGTTGTTTCGATTTTCATGTTGTATGCTCTTGATGCTGGCATCGTTGGTTCCATTCTCATTAGGTGACCAAACCATTTCATTCTTTGCTTCTCAATAAATGTAACGATGGGTATGGTTCTAATAGTTCTTGTAATCACATCGTTTCTCACTCGATCTCTTCTGGTTTTATTCGCAGCCATTCTCAAACATCTCATTTCACAAGTGGTTAGTCTTCTCTCGTGTTCTTTTGTTAATGTCCAAGTCTGACATTGATAACCTAATGTCGGTATAAAAATTGTATTTATAATTTGTCTTTTTATCTCAGCTGGGACAGCAGGGTGTTTTAAAATTGGGGCAAGCTGGTATGCGACATTGTTGGCTAGTTGGATTCTTGCTTCGATCTCTCTGTTTATTTTACCATTGGATGTAAAGATACTTCCCAGGTATTTAAATTCTTGCACTTGTTTTAGGCTGTGATCTAGAATCTTTATGTCGATGGCCTGTTGCTCTCTACTTATGCTCATGACTTCTGTCTTTTCAGTATTGATCTTCATATGATGCTTGAGGCAACTGTCGTGTAGTAGGTTTATGTGGTCTTGCAGCTGTTTACTATCACTGTGAAATATGCATTGATTGTCGGCAACGAGCAGCTCATTGAAGTCCTCCTGTTTATCAACATCTGTTGGTGTTATGTCTATTTTATTAATATTGTCCATAAATATTATGAAAAGTAAAGGTGATAATACACAACCTTGTCTTACTCCTGATGTTACTGGGAACCAGTCTGTGATGCCAGCTCTTGTTCTAATGGCGCTTTCACTTTGTCTATAAATAGCCCTAACACAATCTAAAATTGTTCCATTTATACCGTAGTTTTCAAGAACTTTCCATAATAAATTTCTGTTTACTCTATCGAAAGCTTTTTCTTGATCTATGAAAGCGATGTTCATTTGATGTCTGTGTTCTATTGTCTTTTCACTAACTTGTCTTAAAGCAAAAATAGCGTCAGTACACCCTCTTCCTTTCCTAAATCCGACCTGTGATGGGCTCAGGATCGGTTCTACAACGGATCTAATTCGTTGTTCCAGAATTTTGGCAAACATTTTTCCTACGTGGCTTAGAAGGGAGATGCCTCTGTAATTGTTAAAATCTTGCTTATTGCCTTTTCTTTTTCAAATTGGGACTATAGATGGGATTAAATTTCTAAAATCAACCCAGAGGTAACAAAAACTTGCAGAGTTAAAATTCAATCTTCATTATCCAACCAATGTACTTCTGAGTGTATTGCTGAGGTGCCAATCATTTGATGTGCACTAGGACTAGGGCACATACTGGTCATGAGCTTTCTTCACCTTTCAAGAATTAGATATTATTTTTATGCTAACTAATTAATGAATGGAATACCATATGCAAAGAGTGAGGCCCAAAGAGCAGAATGTAAGACAGGCCTGCACGCCCAATTCTGAACCCTCTGAAAATAAAAGTTGTTTGTTCGTTCCTGGTCATCCTAGAAACAGTTTCCAGTGGGAGTCCTAGCTAATAGGATTAGTGTTTTCTTTGCAATTGGAGTACACCTTCCTTGTATGGGTTCTGGGATCCTATTGTGAGGGGGGGGGGGGGGAATAGATCTAGTACCCCCTTTCAAACATGTCGTCAAGGTAGACCAAATAGGCATGTTACTTTTGAAGTCAGATTGCTGCTGCCTGAGAAGCTCGGAACCAACAGTCTGCATACAGATAAGTCAGATCTGTAAAACAGATGAGCACACAACAACTCAAGTTCTGGAACAAGACAAGTCTAGAAGTGGACAAACAACCAAACCTTTTCACTGGAGTTTACAGCCAGTGAATGCCAAGAAGAAGAAAAAAAAGAAGTACATCTGTATCAGAGGCAGTGAATCAAAGTCTGCACACAAATAGGCCAGATCTTTCAAACAGATGTGCATACCAAACTGGACAAAACTCAAGTCCTTGAACAAGTACAAACTCAAGATGTTGGTAAACAACCAGGACTTTCCAACAGAGTTTACGATTGGTGAATGTGAAGAAGAAGAAGATTATCCATGCCATGTGTGCACAGAGTTATGCAGCAACAAAACCGATTGTGTAAGTTAACATTGTATAAATGTGAATGCTATGGAGAAGAATGTGATAAGGCAAACTGCTAGATATTTAAAAAGAAAGAAAGAAACCTCAGGTTTTCATGACATCATCATCAAGTGCCTCCTCCACTGACATGGGCTATCATGCCTCTCCACAATCTGCGATCATGACAGCAATAGTTATATGTATAAAAAGTATTCTAATCCTTGTGAAATAAAGCGTACATAACATAACACAGGCACGTCTTACCACATCAGTCAGGATAGTATGTGACGCTGATGAGGTAACGTAATGACCATCTGCTTGCTGGGATGGCAATTGTAGGTTTCAATCCAAAACTGAGGCAGATTTTTACAAACTGACTTGGTCTCCCAGCTCAGCGCAGCTAAAAATGGGTACTAGGAAATGTCCTCGGAAGCAACAATGGGTGGCACGATGTTGACATTATGTGTGTCATTTGTTCTATAAAATATATGGCTAAGACCTATGCTGAATGTCTTGTTAGGTGGTAAAAGGTTCTTTACTATTCTGGTTATGCAGCAGTTGATGTATCATTTTTCACTGTGATCAGTTTGAAGTTAAAATGTAACTTCCTTGGCTGCTGCTTGGGAGGAGGGAAAACAACGGGTGGGACGGATGTGCTAGGAAGTCAGTATCAGTTACATGTAACAGTGAAAATTATTATTCTGATTATTCAAGAGGTAACAGTAAAATGTGCCAGGGCAGTTATGCCAGAGTGGAGAGTAACATGTAGAACGGGGTTATCTAGTTTAGGATTAACAGTAAAATGTTGTAGAACAAATCATTATTCTCGGCCTCAGAACAGGGCACAACCGATTATGTAACCACATGTACACAAAATTCAAGATAGGCATATCAGCCATGCGCACCTGTGGGAAGGTGCCCCAGACAGCAGAGCATGTACTCCAGGACTGCACAGAATTTGACACATTAAGGTAAACCTTTTGGCCAGAAAGAACAACAGTGGAACGTAAACTCTATGGACCACTGAATGAACTAACAATGACAGTGAAATTTATACAAGAGACAAAATTGCTGATATAGACAACTTATTTCAGGCGAATAAAAGAAAAAGAGGTAAAATGTTCTTGGTGTGGTTATGAATGAGTTGAAAGTTAAATGTACTATGCGACAGTTTTTTTTAAATATAAAATATACCATGCCGGTTACCCAAGAATTAATGGTAAAGAGAGATTTACATATACCTTTTTTCTCATTCATGCTGAAAAGGTCACTGGTTGTTTTCTGTCTGCCTACAGTGAAACTGACATATTTGCATTTGGCTGAAAAATAAACTTCAGCAGGGTATTTGTAAAGATAACCGGATATTTTTAACATAGCAAGGCATTTTTAAGGATAGCAGGGCATTTTTAAAGATAACTGGAAATTTTTAATATTGCAAGGCATTTTTAATTATAGCAGGGCATTTATTAAGATAGCATAGCATTTTTAAAGATAGCATCCACATCACCTACTGAATACTGAAAGATCTATTTTTTAAAATATGGTCTAACATCATATGTCCAGTAAGTCTAGAGTTGTGAAACTAGGTTGTTTTCTTTTATTCTGAACTTGTGTTAACATGCACATACAAGGTAGATATGATACAACAAAAACTTTATGCTCACAGTGACAGTCTTTGCTTTGCCATTCTCGTCTTTGACTGTTGTTGCAACTGGCACAATTTCTGCATCAAATAAGCCTGCATCGGCAGCTTTCTTGGCCCTGACAATAATAGTGCACAGTACACGTACATTAGAAATACTTTCAAGCCAAAAGACAGAACTGCATACACTCTGCCGTGGATGTTTGTTAAAGCTAAACTAGAATTTTATACATTGTTTTGTTGGTATGTATCCAGGCCCAGGAAATAATTTCAGACAGTTTGTTGGTGTACGTTAAAGTTAAAGAAAGAATTTAATAAATTTTGTTGGTGTGTATTAAAGTTAAGGAAAGAAAATAATACATTTTGTTGATGTGTGTTAAAGTTAAGGAAAGAAAATCATACATTTTGTTGATGTGTGTTAAAGTTAAGAAAAGAAAATCATACATTTTGTTAGTGTGTATTAAAGTAAATGAAAGAATTTTGTACAAATAGTTTGTGTGTTTTAAAACTAAGTAAAGCATTTTACATATTGTGTTGCTGGTCTGTCTCAAAGCTAAGAAAAGAAATTCATTCACTTTGCTGTGTATGTGTTTGAAAGCTAAAAGATCCCCTGCAAGCTTAGTTCAGGCCAAAATAGGCCTTTATCCATGGTGTAAGAAAAGGACCTGTGGCAGGAGTCTTGCATGAGGATCTCTAAATCCAGCGCAGAGTCTACTGGTGCTCAGGGTAAGGTATTATCTCGGCTCTCCTCCATATGATGGGTCTGAATGATCACGTTTAAAATATACCCTAACACTGCCTCAATAGATTTGCTTCCGCCTGAGTTGCATCCATAACCCTTCAATTGTTTGAGTGTTAGGGTCAGGGTTAACCCTAACCATACCCCTAATTCATTAAAAGATAGATAGATAGATAGATAGATAGATAGATAGATAGATAGATAGATAGATAGATAGATAGATAGATAGATAGATAGATAGATAGATAGATAGATAGATAGATAGATAGATAGATAGATAGATAGATAGATAGATAGATAGATAGATAGATAGATAGATAGATAGATAGATAGATAGATAGATAGATAGATAGATAGATAGATAGATAGATAGATAGATAGATAGATAGATAGATAGATAGATAGATAGATAGATAGATAGATAGATAGATAGATAGATAGATAGATAGATAGATAGATAGATAGATAGATAGATAGATAGATAGATAGATAGATAGATAGATAGATAGATAGATAGATAGATAGATAGATAGATAGATAGATAGATAGATAGATAGATAGATAGATAGATAGATAGATAGATAGATAGATAGATAGATAGATAGATAGATAGATAGATAGATAGATAGATAGATAGATAGATAGATAGATAGATAGATAGATAGATAGATAGATAGATAGATAGATAGATAGATAGATAGATAGATAGATAGATAGATAGATAGATAGATAGATAGATAGATAGATAGATAGATAGATAGATAGATAGATAGATAGATAGATAGATAGATAGATAGATAGATAGATAGATAGATAGATAGATAGATAGATAGATAGATAGATAGATAGATAGATAGATAGATAGATAGATAGATAGATAGATAGATAGATAGATAGATAGATAGATAGATAGATAGATAGATAGATAGATAGATAGATAGATAGATAGATAGATAGATAGATAGATAGATAGATAGATAGATAGATAGATAGATAGATAGATAGATAGATAGATAGATAGATAGATATAGATAGATAGATAGATAGATAGATAGATAGATAGATAGATAGATAGATAGATAGATAGATAGATAGATAGATAGATAGATAGATAGATAGATAGATAGATAGATAGATAGATAGATAGATAGATAGATAGATAGATAGATAGATAGATAGATAGATAGATAGATAGATAGATAGATAGATAGAATGAACGAACAAACAAACTTTATTTTTAAAGGGTTAAGAATTGGGCACGCAGGTCCGTCTAACATTCTGCCCTTCGAGGTCTCCCTCCATTCTTATATCATTTCATTCACACATCAAGTAGTAAACATTATCAAAAACATCAAAATATTCAGTACAAGCACTGGAATGTCTACATTTCTAACTACAATAAACCGTAGTGGTTCTTACAAATCTAGGGAAAATGGGCGCTATTTTAAACATATAGACAGATAGATAGATATAAAAGTTGGCAGGTCTATCATCTACTGATGCCAGTTTTTTCAATCAGTAGAACATTACTGCTAATCTGTGTCGGAGCTGACGGTCTGCCTGACATATTTGTTGGAAATAACTCCTAATTTTACATATCATTGAGGCCCTGTTTATGAATATTTCTAGATGTGATCATTTAGATCCATCATTCGGAGGGGAGCCAGTATCTCTTTATACACATCACAACTGCATTAACTTTTCCTCATTCATGTGACCAAAATTACTGTGCCACGAATAAATATATAAAATAAAGATCAACATCATGGCACATAAGTGCTCCGTCCTATTTCTAACTCAAGTCTGTGATATATGAAATAAAGTAAGTAAACATTCCTTTACATGTCGGTTGCACATAAGTCATGTATGAAAAAACCTGATTTTATTCATATTTTAACCATAAATTTAAGGGGAAGAAAGATCTTGACAGAAAGTACAAAAATAATTGCAAACATGTTTTGAACAAAATTAATAAAACTATGTACGAACTTGAGTTGGGAACTGAAAGCAAACTCATCCTGTTCCTGTCTTGTCACCCCAAATCTTTCAGCCACATTCTCTGAAGTAATTCTGTTAACAGAAACAGAATTTTAATATTTAATTAGTGCATCTTAATCCTTTGGAGATGGAGTCTTAATTAAAGTTTCAATGCCAAGAAGACAGAGCCTTCAGGAGGGGATTCTCTTAATTTATATTTAAAAAAAAGTATTTAAAAAAATAAAGTGTTTAATTAACATATACAAAACTATAAATATTCCTGTAGGAAATTGAATGAACTAACACAATCTTTATAAATCATACTGACATCTCAGCATTTATTCAAATTAGCTATCAATTTTTTTTTTTATTACTTAGGACAAACATGACTAAATTGAACAATTTGGTGGATTTTCTGTTGAATGAAGACTGAATAAGTCCTAACACTTGTATTTCAGGAAGCAAGGCTCATGTAGTATGTACTAGGCCCTGCAAACACCTCTGGCACATCAATCTATTCCTCATGCTATATTTTTGTTGCTATAATGCAACAGTCCTTTTCATCATTGTTGAGCACAGATAACACTCAAAACAAAATCAATATAAAATTACAGAACACATCAAACATTCAAAAAAGCCACCACTCGAATAACCCACATATGCAATAAATGTGAAAAACAATCTAATTTGTTGGTATAAAAATCCTGCCAGCCAATCTCAAGGCTTGTATTATTGAGCTGACGGATCGGCTGATTTGTCTTTTTGAATATTTTGCATATAGATCGGCCGAGTCATCACCAAAGGAGTTGAACCCTGTGGCTCAGAGAAAACTAAATCTAGTATTTCCACTTGTGACGCAGTCCATAAATGCTGATAAATCAGCCTGTTTAAATGATCTGTTCTCAAAAAGCATCGGAAAATTTTATAGGTCTTGTGTGTGGCTGTGCAGTGTTTAGTAGACCAAGATATGACCATAGTAACTGAAAATAATATTTAGAGGGTTCTTAATGACCCCGGTGTTTTTTTTTTTTAAAGCCAAGTTGATAATCAACTTTTCCTATACGCCTCAGTGATAGGGGTCACAGGGTCATATTTGGATTCACCCGACACATTGTTTCTTTAGGCTCCAGGGAATGTATTCCATTTAATGTTTCACTTTGTTCATGTTTATTGATTATCTATTTTATACATCTTTATATTTTTCCACACACACACACATTTTTTAATGCAGATACACATGTTATTTTTTTTTTATGTATTAGTGACTTGTGTCAAATGGTAGTTTTTGTAATACTTTTCTCCTGGGAATTTTTCAGGGTTGATAACTTATTTTAAACCAACAAAATTTATTTTGTAACATTTAGAGGGTGAAAGGTTTATGATTAACTCTTTCTGTCCCAGGCAGTTGTAAGGAAACCTTTTTTTTTTCTACTAAAGGCCATTTCGATATCTACAACATCATTCAAGAGATAAACAAAATTATCAGCTAAAAAATTAGCCTGCTTCTTCTTCCTTGTTTGCCATTAAAAGGGTGATTGGAATGTGTTGTTGTAGTACAAATAGGCTGCAGTTTCTGCGCTTTTTGGCTGAAAACATAAATTGTAAACAAACTCCTAATTAGTCACATTTTATGACATGCTTGTTACTAGAGCAGTGAGTCTTTTCTTTTTCCTCCAAAAATGGGCCCACATAACCCACAGGGGAAATAACGCGCTATGCTTTCTTCAAATATTTCATTGCTTTAGCCTTGGTAGGATGGACCAAATAATTTTGCAGGTCTTATAAGGCATATAGATAAGATATTCATCACTCTTGCTGTAAAATAACATCTCCTTCACAAAATGTTTGAAGTCATAACACAGTGGAATAGGTAGTGAAAAGAACAGAATTAATTATGTGCATTACAGTAACTGTGGCTCAAGCGTTGGGAGTCCGATTCGTAATTCCACCCTACTGCGATCAAAACCCACTGCTGACTGCGTGGATTTTTATCATGGTGTGGGGCATCGCAGGTGACCTAGACTAAAATGGGTACCAAGATGTAAGTCCTGGAGAAGTAAAGACGGCCAGCGTAATGCTGACCACATTATCCACCGAGTGCCGATTGGTCTGTAAAAATATGGATGCTCTTCCCATATGCCCAATGCACCTCAAGGCGTGAATAGAATCTTTACCTTTTACTTACAAAAACTAGCTAAGAAAGAATCATTTAAAAAATTAAGTCTGACAACATACAAAGTTGAGTCATGGGCTATTTCACAATTACTTTTTCTTCTTCCTCTCCTCTTTTACTGCTTCAGGTGTCGAGGGAGATATAAGGTTCAGCTGCTTGCTTCACAACTGCATGAGGAAAAAACTGATGCTTTTGACCTAAAAATATTTTTAAAAAATTATGTGCACACCATGGTACAGTTAAAAGACAAATACTAACATTCTACAAGTTTTAAACATTGAGAACAGCTGGCTTTTAAACAGCATCATGTTCACAAACTTTGGCCACATCAAACATCACAGCAGTTTGAGAAGTACAGTAATAAAACGTATTGCTGCAGTAGCAGGGGCAATAATAGGAATAACATTCAGTGAAGGACCGACGGTGTAATCATATATATATAGCGTGGGGTTGCGTAGTACTGTGGTTTTTGATCCGCCTTCTGGTCCAGTATTTCTGACTTCCGGATCTCTTGAGAGGGAGAGTAGATCTCTTGCTAAGAAAGGGGCAGAATGTGACCAGGAAGAGAATGCAGTAACATACCATGAGAAGAAAAGGGCCATCCAGGCTATTAGAAGTGAACAGAGTCTGGCCAGAGATGACTACCACTTACTTGATCGGCATGGGCAGGTCATTATCCTATGTCTCAGGACAGGACATAACAAACAACCATCATATGCTCAGGCTTCGTCTAAGTAGTTCATCTTTGTGCCCTTGTGGGCTGTGTGTGCAGACTACAGAACATGTCCTGCAAGAATGTCTCTTGTTCAGCCTGTAACCAGGGAATACTGGCCCAGTGAGTTACCACTGTACGCAAAGTTGTATGGGACTGAAAAGGAACTCATAAAAACAGTCAAGTTTATCATAAGAACCTGTCTGTTGGTGTAAATCAGAAAGCGATGGCAAGAAGAAGAAGAAGAAGTGAAGGACCGTCTACAATTTGATGAAAAAGGCTGAGTTCCTATAACAATTGGCTAGGTAAGTAAAGTTATTATTATATCCGACACTAGTTAAGCACATTTATACAGCAGCAGTACCAACTTCCAGTTAACTATTAAACATAGAACAGATGTATCTAAATGCAATTTTTTTTACCCCATTGGCAAAAGTACATCTTTAGTTAACTGGCTCTCAGCACTTCGTGGGTTCAGTACATAGCCTTTTCTTTCCCGTGGGTTGGTACTCATTGATTCCACACTGTTGAAATAAAATAAAGAAATACAGCAAAGAAAGTTAGTTAGTTAGTTAGTTAGTTAGTTGGGTTATCGTCATTGCACTCCGGACATGTCCATAGGTGCTCAGATCCTCCCCTCAGTATGAACCCCAACGTCCGATGGCTAATAGTACCAGTTCTATGTTGATTAACAAGACTTCTGACGTGTCCAGTGTGCGTCTCGTTTTTTGCTGTGCCGATCTTAATTCCCAAGTCTGCCATTCTGGCGAGTGATGTGGATTCACTGCCACCAAAGTCTTCTATCCTTCCCATTTCTCTTAGGGCATTGATAATATCAGCATGATCCATAGGCCGACCGTCGGTAGTGATAGCGGATCCAGCCAACCTGTCAGCTCTTTCATTTCCATCGACGCCTGCGTGTCCCGGAACAAAAATAAAGGTGACTCCACGCACAGTGGACTTCTGTAACGATTCAAGCCATTGTCTTCGCACTGAACCTGCCTGAACCCTCCGGATCATACTCATTGAATCACTGAGTATACATATGCGGGTGTATTTTTGTGTTTCAAGCCAGGCAAACGCTTGCGTCACTGCCATCACCTCCATCGTCATGCTGCTGGTTGTCATGGAGAAGGCACCGTTGGCTTCTTTGACTGTTCTGCCCGCTGAGCGTGCTGTAAATGCCCATGCGCTTCTTCTTTGGCGTATAACGGATCCGTCTGTAAAGATTAGTTTTATCATGTTTTTTTATCATATTAGTTTTTATCATTAGATTTATCATGCAGCAAAGAAAGTACTTCTAGGGAATACAGTAGGTTAGCAAATGCATGTGTTACTAGCTCTATATTAACACAGACCAGTTGGCACTCAATAGTTGATGTTCTGTATTTCCCAGAACAAGAATATTATTACAAGATAAAATCACTTGAATAAAATGTATAGTAAATATTTCAAAAATATGGTCACCATTTAAAAAATAGTATCAAAATCTACCATAAAAATAATCAGATATAGATTAAAAAAATTTTCAGCTACAAACAGCATTATACGATGCAGACCTGATAAGGATAACTCGCCGGAGACCCAAAAAATGGTTCTTCATTTTATAAATGTTTCTCATCCAGATAGGAATTCAAGCAACTACACACAAAAATTGCCAGGAATAAACAAATTTGTTCTTCACATCAGAAATTTGCCTCATCTGAGATTGCCTTAAGCTGTCTGCATTGTATTTAAAAATAAAAATATTTTCATCCTAAATTAGGACAAACCCACATTTAATGTTCATCTGGAGTTGACAAACCCACATTTAATGTTCATCTGGAGTTGAAATATTACTAATTTATTTATCAGCTATCCCATAGGTAGTAAGTCAAGTCAAGAATCCTTGCATATTGTTTTGCATGATGTTGCAATCTAGGCCTCGGAAATGAGATACCTGAGAAAGGTGGTCCAAGTGACAAAAAGGGACAAAGTCCACAATCAGACAATACGTCAAGATCTTGATACCCAGCCCTTACTAACCCGAGTAGATCAGTCACAGTTACGATGGTTTGGACATGTATGCAGAATGGGAGGAAATCGCCCACCATGGCAAGCATGGGAGGCTAAGAACCAGGGAAGCAGACCTCCGGGACGACCCAGGGTGCGCTGGGAAGACAACATCCAACAGTCCCTAACTGACAGAGGACTGGAATGGAACAAAGC